TGTGTGTCTGTGTGTCTGTCTGCCTGTCCGTCCGTCCGTATGTACGTATGTATGTATGTATGTATGTATGTATGTATGTATGTATGTGTGTATGTCTGTATGTACATATGTATGTAGGTAGGCAAGAAGGCAGGCAGGCAGCCAGGCAGGCAGGCAGGTAGGTATTAATGTATGCATGTATGTATTTATGTATATAACTCCTGTCTGCCTGCCTGCCTGCCTGCCGGCCTGCCTGCCTGCCTGTCTGTCTGTCTGTATGTCTGTATGTCTGTATGTCTGTATGTCTGTATGTCTGTATGTATGTATGTATGTATGTATGTATGTGTATGCATGCATTTATGCATGCATGCATGCATGGATGGACGGATGGATGTATGTATGTACGTACATATGTATGTAGGTAACGGGCTCTGGCAAGCACCTCGCCCCGGGCAAGATCCTCTGCAGACTCAGATGGTTTAGGTGAACTCCCCTGCTGTATTGTGGTGGGAGATCTCGAACTGAAGTCCCACGACTACGGAGCTTTTCCAGGCAGGACAGGGGACCTCGGGCAGGAGCAAGCCAAAGAAGAGGCTTCGGGTACCTCGACCTGACCCTGAGGCTGGGGGCAACACTCCAGATGTCGAAGAGATAGATGGAACTACATCATTGCTTACGACGCCTACCCAGCCGTCTACCACTACCTTGCCACTGCCCTGCGCAGTTGTCATCGACGCCCACTTCAACCCCGGAGCCGAAGCCTGCAGCCACTACAGGTCCTGCTCTGGATGGCTTCGAGGAAGTGGAGCGCGTCTCCTGGCGGGCACCGACACCACCGAGCCCGAGCTTGTGACACCCAGGCCTCAACCTTCGACTACCGACCTTCCGTAACCGGCACCCATTGACGCGGAAGCACAAATACAGGAGACTGACATCCATCAGATGCTCCGTAAGCGGGGCGATCATCCGATCTACGCCGCTTTCCGACCCCCAGGTCTATGGCACGGGCCACCTCTGCTCCCACATCTTTGCCTGACCCCAAGCCTACCAGCGAGAACGACTCGCAGACTGTACAGTCCGCCCCTGCCAAGAAGAAAAAGTCCAAAAGACCAGCTTGTTGTTTCAAGGAAAAGGTAGCCACGTGGGATACGTGGGTGCAGTCATGCGGGCTTGGCCATCCGCATGATGGAGGCGAGTTAAAACAAAGTCTATTTGAGGTATGAAAGCTTGGGCTTGGGTGCCTGCTCGACGCCAACAGTTCAGCGCACAGAGGGAAAACGTCCTACGCAACTGTTGTAGGTCATTCTGATCGGGTGGCTGCTTGCTGAGGCGTGTGCGCACTCCAGTGCCCACGTGCGGGGCGTCAGGGAAGAGATCGGGGGTGAAGTCGCCCGTTAGGATCACTGAGTTCCCCGACGGGAAATTGGTTAGGCTTTGCACACAAACGGGATCGGCAAAGCGTCGTCTTGACACCATTGTGAACCTTCTGATTCTTCACTACGCGCGCACTAATTTGGTGCAGCCTCTTTAAACCGGCGGAGACTACTTGTCTATCAGTCCTTGCACCTGACACAGGCAACTCGATCAACCTCAGCTTGGTCAGGTTCTGAAAGAGTCGCGGAACCACAGTCCTCCAAAGGAGTGTGAAAAGCCAGCCATCCCTGGATCTGGAATTGATTGTCAGACCTCCAGCAGGTCTCTTGAACAGCGACAACATGAAGGTGTATGTCTGGACGTTGCAGCCATAAAATAAGCTGTTGGTAACGGTCACTGGAGAGCCCTCCGGCATTCCAAGTCAGGATGTGGATTCGAGGTGATTGCCGTGCTGAGCTAGGTGCAGTTTTACGAGCAGCCGTTTCGGGCGGCCGAAAGTCGGGATTCACGAATCTGTGGCCACGAAAATTGGTTGTTCCTGTACGATCGAGTCTCCGTAGAGCCCGTAGGAGAGAGCGCTTTTGGACTGCTTTCGCAGTGTAAGGGTTGCTGGTAAGCGAAAGACCGAAAGGCTTCGCTGCAAGGTTTGCTTTATAGGGGTGCCAGTGTACGGCTTCACGATCAACAGGGCCCCAACCCTCGGCTCAGTGACCTTGACTGAGGCACTCCTGTGCAGTTGCATGAAGAGGAGCAAGAATCTGAGAGGTGCCAGCTTTGAGTGCCAGATTTGAGTGCAAGGTCGCTCCCGGACTTGGGACCGGGAACAGCAGTGCTAGTACTGCTAGTATCGTGGGGTCTTTGGCGTCTTCGGCTGTGGGAAGTCTGTGGATTGTGCCTCGACGTTTTGGGGGCACTAAGCAGGAGCCAGCGACTAGTGGCCACTTCTATGAATGAGGTTATCTGCGTAAGTGGTGAAAGCATGCTCAATTGTTGTCGACTCGCAAGAAGGAGAGACAGCACGTGGAAGTAAGGACCAAACAAGCCTCGAACATTTCGACGTCGTTGATCGCCGTTCTGGCGGTGCCGACGCCTGGACGGGGGCAATGACTGGCGTATGCGGCAGACCCGCAGTCGGCGACCATAGCATGGTCTATCAGGCAGACAACCTGTTGGCCTGGGAAGCTTGTCAGGCCTGCTTTCCGCTGCACAGACCAGCAGGAGCTTCAGCTCCGTGGAGGCAAGGGCCGTTGACCCAAGCATTGGGACAAAGGTCTGACAGAGTAAGGCAGAGCCACACACCCAAATGGGGTGTGGACAGACCTCGGCAGCAGCTGCATGCTTACATTTGCAGCGTAAGGGCAGGGCATAAGCGAATGCAAAAGGGACAAATGCAGCTCCGGCCATGTATGCAGTGGCGGATGCGCGCGGTCTCTGAGTTGAATCTGCCGGCTCTCTTTCCGGACTGAACCAAAAGCTGCTCTTGCTTTTGCCCCTTCCCTGGGCAAGGGGCAGCACTTCTCGGCCGAGAAGTCTTAGAGGATGAAGACTTGTCTGCCTTCTCCCTCTGCTCGGACTTGGTCAGGACAGCAGATTCTGGAACCGAGGAATGCGCCACCTTACCGTGCTCGGATCTGTGCCTCTGCCTCAAACACCAAAAAAACCCGAAGTAGGCAGCCTCCAATGTTCCTGGCCTCTGTACGCCAGGCACTACGACTCACGCGGAGCTGTCAGGTGCCTTTGCTGCTGCTGCTGCAGCATCTGCCCCTCTGGTGCACCCTCGGAGCAGTTCAGAGCCTCCAGCAAGCCTGGCTTCAATGCTGCCCCCAGGCCGGGCCACCTGTGCCCCGAAGCTTGCGTGCGCAGACCATCATGCACTTGTGGGACCTAACAAGGGAAAGACCAGCAGAACCCGCGTCATCAACTGCCGTGCCCAGGGGTGCAGAGCTCCATGAGAAAACTATTGAAGTTGGCGTGCAAAAAGCCCAAACAGGATCGGATCCAGCGCATCCTACAAGAAGCAGAACTAGCTGCCTAAAAGGGGCTCACCGCTGTGTACTATATCAGGTTGTCCGTCGTCTTGCGCCCAAGAGCATCCGCAAATCCATTCTCTTTCGGGGTGCCACTGGTGCCCCGCTCTACACAGAGCAAGAGGTTCGAAGCCCTCAGGACTACTTCAGAACACTTTACAAATCCGACCACCCGGAACCCCCGCCGCCGCGAAAATCTTTTAGTACTTTCTCCCACGACGAAGTTATGAATGCTCTGCTACATCTGTCTCCAGGCAAAGCGCTTCCCTCATGGCTTGCTCCAGCTCCGCTCTGAACTTTTGCCGCAGCCCTGATCGCGGTTATTATCCAGCCGGCGCTCGAGACATGGTGTAACGAAGCCCTCCAAACCTCCAAAGGCACCTGAGAACCTACGTCCTATTGCGCCGCTCCGCCCAATTTCGAAATGCCTGGCCACGCTTGCAGCAGACGACCTGGCCTGTCAATACCCTCAGTATGCGTATGTTGGTGTGCGATCTGTTGAGGATGCAGTTGAGCGTGCGTGCGCCCACTGCGCAACTGCCCGCGCAGTGCTCGAAGGTCAAAAGTACAACATCCACCGGCGCCGCGAGGGACACACTCGTGCCTTTGATTGCTTGCCACGAGAGGTCCTGCATGCCTCTCCGCAATTCGCAAAGGTGGATGCTGAGCTGGTGGACCTCATTCTGCATATTCATCGTCATTCTCGGCTTCTTATCGATCACAAGGACCATCAGATCACTGTCGAACTATACACTCAGGTGTGCGTCAGAGGTGCAGTCTTTCTCCAGCTCTATGGAGCATCTTCATTTGCTACACCCTTCACCTACTCAGCTCCGCGGGCCGTTCGTCCAGGGCTGTCATGCGTCTCTGTTTGCCTCCGATTGGGCTCCTGGCTCCCTCCTTGGGCTCCGCCTGGGAGTCGAGGCTCTGTGGTGGCCTGGCGAATGTGATCATGGATGGGAGGCTCACCTGCA